CTTTTATTGATCGAATTGTAAAAATTTGACGCAATTAAAGAAAAAAAAGAATCTAAACTACTATTGACAAATGTAAAATACTGGTTTATGCTTGCAATTGCGTAACTGTTATTCTTAAAACCAGGAAAAGAAGTGACATTTCTTTGGATCATTTGACTTTATCTTCTCTTTCCTTCTCTCTCTCTCTCTCTCTCTTCTCTTGATAGTAAAAAGAAACATTAAAAATACACGAATTGGAAATGAACACCTCATTAACTATGCAATGTATGGATGAAATAAGGATGAATTCAGTGAATATGTAAAAAAAAACAAAAAATGTATATCTTCAAATTGATTTGTTCATTTTAGAAACATTCAATCATATTTCTTCAGAATGTTTTACATTCATACCAATGCGCAATTGCCTCAAACAATTTCGATTATTATCATCATCTGAATTGATCAAATAATTAGGAAAAAAAGCTCATTTCATTCAAAACATTTATCATTGTTATCAATTATATGTCATACAGGTTGACATATCTACTATGAAACATGAATGTGAAAATTATTGACCTTACTAAAGTTGACTTTACCAAAATCTGGCAATTGATTAATTCGTTGTAAATAAAAATACATTTTCAATACTTTATTTTTTTGTTTGTAACATATAATATTTCAGCATGATAAAATATGAGAAATAAATGCATCAATGAAAATGGATGATCATTAATGAAGAATTGAAAAATTAAACTTCAAATATTTTTGAGAAGTTTTGAAAGATAAAATCCTTCCAACAAGCATGTTGTTTTTTTCCCCTAAAATGTTTAAAACTCCATTTGATTTTGAATAAATGATATGAGATGTGAGAAGCGAAAAAGAAATGGGTAAGCAAGTAAGAAGGTGGCATTTAATTTCACTTATAAAATTAAATTTCATTTCTATCAAAATGCAGTAGTCATACTTTCCATTTTTCTTCTCCCTCTTTCCCTCCCTCCCTCCCTCTTTCTCTCTCCTTTTCATACCAGCTCTACCAATCTGAACAAACAAGAATTAAAAATTGCAAGAAATATTGATCAATCTCTAAAAAAGGATACTAGATGTAATGGGAAGCAAAAAAAGGAGAAAAAAGGAGGAGAAAATATAATAACAGATATAACTAAGACAATAGATAAAAGTAAAAAGCAAATAAATATGGAAATGCAAGAAGTCTGCATGCATGTAAATGCATTGAAACAATATGAAAAAATGGAATGTCTAACAGCTGAAAGGAAAACAGCTCTTTTTCTGTTTTCTCCTAAAAAAAAGAAATCAATCTTTTTCTCTCACTCACAAACTATTTTGAGCAAAAATTTGAAATTTACAGATAAAACAATCACCTTCATCTTATCTATACTAATAAATCAATAGATAAAACAAATGTGAGTAATATACGACTCAGGAAAGTTTCATAAATAAATATGAAAAAACTAATAGTAACATTCAAATTCTCCAAACCAACTTATTACTGCATTTCTATTCATATGAAATATTATAAGGAATGATGAACCGTATTCGGTTATCTTTCAGTAGTGAGCATGAGAAAACGAGGATTTGTGAAGTGATATGATAAAGAGATAAAGATGGAAAGATGTAAATAAATCTTCAATTAAAGCAGTAAAATTCAAATAAAGCAAATAAAATTTTCAAATGTTCCCATGTAACGAGGGAATGCACGAAGAAATAACAAAAGAAATGAGAAAAATTAAATTGATAAAATAGTTATGCAACTTCTTTAAAATATACAACTACATCTACCAAATTTATGCCATACAATACTATATCATAGCTATTCCTTTCTTTTAGAATATTTCCGAACAAAGTTTTTAACAAATGTAGTCTATAAAGATGCTTTTTAAAAATGAAAATATTTTTAGACTGCATTCTACAGAATATTGTTTAACAGATAAAGTGCAACAAATCACAATGATACACTGTGAGGGATATGAAAAGCATATAATGCAAACTGCATTTCAGGCTGCATTTCAAATCTCACTGTACTCCAGGCAGAGAAATAAGTAGAGAACTAATTTTGATCTATTCACTAATATCATATTAGGGTGCATTTCAAACAACATTGTCAGTTATAACAGTATGTTTTGAATGATAATTCGGTAAATGTTGAACCGATTGTCCACAATGAGAGCATGTTTGAAGCCCAATGTTGTCCACTTGACAATCAACAGCTCTCGTCTGAAAAAAAAAAATACTTCCGAACAAAGAGCTTAAAATTGAACCTGAAACACACAGTTATGATTATCATATTGTGATCAACAAATGCACTACAATGCAAAACTGCGGACTATTTCCTATCTAACTCGTAGCAATATGTACCGGATATTCTGAGGGTGACATGTTTTTAGATGTAGCAACAGACGTATATGGCGGTGGAGGAGAGTTATTCTGAGAGTGACAAATCTGAAGTTTCGGTTCACTTCGTCGTTTTGGCATTGATACAGCAGCGTTAGGCCATGGATTATTTTCCGAAACTGTTAAGCCATGTTGCAAAGATCTAGAAAGCAAAGTTTGCTAAATCTAAAATTAATATGAACTAAACGACTAATAAAGACCAAGATCATACCTCCTCAAATTCTCTACGCGATCTCTAGTTACTGGAGATCCACGGTAAATCATATGGCGTACATCCTGATTTGAAACTGCCGGTACCATTTCGATTATTTCACGTTGACAGCTGAAAATAGCCTTACAACTCCGCGCGAAGTCTAGGTAAGCATCTGCTATGCCCTGAAAAACAAAAATGGTTTATTGAAGAAATGGTACTGTAGAATTTGTAATTAAAGTAATATGCAAGTTAACATGCAAGTGAGAACATTAAAGTAATATGCAAGTTAACTTACATATTACTTTAATGTTCTCATTTGCATCTGATGTTAGCAACAAACATTCCCGATTCATTATTTCGCTTTGCTGAAAATCTTGTCTATCTTAGGTTATTTAATCATTATTGCGCAGTTTACATTCTTGTTCTTCGTGTTTCAATTTTCCAGAAAGTTCAGTAAAAATGAAACAGAATAGCTGCGCTAACCTGCATACCATTTCGAAATCTAAACATTTTCACAACCTCCATTTCAGCATGAAGATCGGACAAAACATGTTCAGCTTGCTCCCTCGAAGCTTTGACCTGGAAACAAACTCAAAAGCTAAAAAGAAAAAAAATCATTTTCAGAAAATCTTGTTTTATACATCCTTTAGACATTGTCAACAGTGAAATTCTTCTCAGCAATGACCGTGTGAATTCAAATACGAAATGAACCAGCAATCACCTCTTCAAGTTTCTGTTTCAACAAATAAATGTCACCACCGCGGCGCTGTCTGAAGAACGAAGTGCCTTTCCCAATTTCTCGTTTCAACTTCTTTTCTTTTTCTTCCAAATCCTTCACATTTTCTTCAGCATCCTTTACTGCTCGCTGTGCATCTGCTATTTTTTGCAGTTGCTGGAAAATGCAAAACATGAGCATAAGTTTATGCGTAAAATAGAAAAGTGAGTAATAACTTTTTGTGAACAGCAGGATATTTCGGAATTCCATTTACGGTTACCAGTGATACTGCTACCATTACATTTTGCTCTAACTAACATTATTTCATTACTGTCTCAAAATCATCTCTAAGGATTTTCACATAAATTATTCGAACTGTCCTTCTGTCATCTTTTATGTTTCCGTCCTTAAGAATTTCGGGATTCATTATACGGAATTTATATGGAAATATCAACCAAATATACTCATGATTTGCCACCTAATATTAAACAAATCGAATGAAGAAAATATCGAAACATTGAAACATTTTTTGCTGATATTTGAGAACAAAAAAAAAAAAACTAGGTTGTACCTGCACATAATGCGTATATTGGCGGGCAAAATGCAGTTCTTTATCGGTGAATATTTCATATAGTTGTCTGGTTTGTTGCATTACATCATCAATAGCTGCATTACCTGCATTATGCGCCCATGCAGCCAATGATTCTACACCACGACGTTGTGACTCGGCGATTTTAGTCATCAATTTTCTGGAAGAGATTTTACAGTTTGGGATCACTTTAGGCGAAAATATCACCAAAACTATCTGATTGTTCAATAATCAACCGAAAATCACGATGTAAGAATATCTACGAAAAACTGATAATACTCCCTATCAAATCCATGTTTCACTTCCTTCACTTTCCAGTCAAACAAAAGTGAACGATGTTGTTATTTTGTTTAACTAACTATTCTTAGTAGATGTAGATTAATATCCTACACCAGTCAGCCGAAGTTTCATTCTGACCCTAATGAAATCAAACCATAAAAAGTTAATTTAACAAAGTAACAATATGATGCTTATTACGACACATGTTTACAGCAAAGAATTGTAAATATTAATTCAGTATACAAAAGCACATACCCTGTGGTGGACAAGTCCAGCAATGCTGAATGAACTGATCCTGAATCGCCAATACTACCAGTTTGAAAAAAGTGTGATAATTTACCAAACGAAGTGGTTCGGCGTCCTTTAACGTTTTTTATTTGAAAAAAGAAAAAACACTTGATTGCAACAGTCAGTTGGATTTCGAAACTTTTCATTGGTAACAAGAGTTAGGAAAAGTGAAATTCAAGAAAACTTTGAAATTTCGAAAGTCACTGATAGCAAGAGTTAGGAAAGTTAAAATTTAAACAAACTTCGAAACGATCTATCTGGTCCATCAGCATTGTCCCTACTACTACTGTTGTTGCTATTAACATTGCTGCTGTTATTATTCATCGTTGGTAAAGCAGAACATGAATGCCTAAATGAAAATTGTTGGAGAATGTATTAAATTTAATTCAGCTCATAAAATACGCCGTGTAGTTTCATAGAAAAATTTGAAAGGAATGAAGGTAGGTAAGTCTGAGCACGAATACATAATAAAATAGATACGATAATTCTGTAGGATTGTAAACTACCGATATCTTTTTATATAAAAACTATTTACTGATATTTTTATTTTCTGATGTATGCAAGAATCAAACTGTAATGAAAGATTTCGTGTGCAATAATAAAAAGTAAACCATTTATTACATTGCTATATAGATGTCGGAATGCCAATAGCATATTGCTAATGGCATTCTCTCCTAGCAAAATTTGATGAAAATAACCTTTGAGAACGTCGCACTGAAAGGCTACTCATTGTTACGCATAAATGGTTTCAATGAATAATTCCAAAATATATCACTATCGGAATGAACGAATGAATGATATGAACAGACATATATCAATAGCAGTTTCCAATCCCCTGTAATATCATCGATAATAGTTTACAGCGTTAATCACAGTTTCAACGTTTCAACATTTTGGCAGTTAAGCATAGCTTAACAAAAATAAGTGAAGATAACATCCAAAAGACAAAGAATTGAAAATTTGGAACGAAATAAAGAGGAGGAATGAAGAAATGATAGATCGGTCAACACAATGACCTTTGCTGTTGCTACTACACGCAGTAATATTTAAATATTGCCAAGCAAGGGGTCCATTTATTTGGAGCATCTTGTCCAGCTGGTCAATTGTTGCGAGGATAGAGAAAATGTGTTTACGATAAGGGGACAGACAACAATATAACGTCAGAGAAAAAAAATCAAACATTACAATAAATGTAATCGACATCGCGCAATACAAATTTTAATACCAAATCTTCAACTTAACTTATTGTTTCCAGTTTTTGGAATATGCAGAAAGATTGAATTCATCAAAAAACTCAAACATATCAACAGAAACGAACCTATCTATATTTAGCAATAAATTTAGGTGTAGGTAAGATAACAAAAGTTATTCAAAGAAGTCTATAGAGGTCAATCTACCAGAGATTACAAATCAAGATACTGGAGTATTGATGCTCAGATCTTAAATCTGAGATGAAACGATACAGTTCGCCAAATAATCTTTCACCTTTGACAATACTATCATCAATCAACGGTTTAGTATATCTAGAAAAGGGTAAAGAAATACCAGACATAATGGACGCCACCAAATACGCACGAAAATTAGCCTTCCAGTTACACAGTTAGAAAAACTGGAATATATTATCATGTGCTCATTAATATTGTCAATTACTTAAATGGATGCACGAATAATGGTATTGCAATTATCATTTCATATTCCTACATTAAAAGATATCACTCATACTATTCCTGAAAGATGTAGGCAGTTTTTAATTTGTTGTCATCAACAAATAGATGTTTTATTGTCTTTAATCTTCAAAGTTCTAATTGCGAATTGCAAAGATGTAAACACATTTTTTGCTTCACAAATACACGTCTAATCAGACGATCATAAAAAGCATTAACACAGATTTTAAATTTCCTGAAGTGAATTTAACTTATTACATACTGGAGCAAACAATATTAATATCAAATTATTCAGTGATCAACGTAACATGACAATAAACAATTCATTTTTATTGTTTGTCAGACAAAAAATCAAATACATCACAACTTTTATAAAAACTTTACAATATACCGAAGTTGAGCAAAGAGAAAGGATGTTTGATATGTGTGTTAGAACTGCACAATAACTATCTGCATAAATGACTAACGTGCCACTTTGAAGATGAATAGACCTTATACTTCGTACCCTGTGACTTCACAGAAGGCACGTCATTAGTTAGCCGATCGTACTCTGCAAATTATTAATGTCAGAGATGCCTAGCTTCATCTAAGTTACACCTTAAAAAAGCGAAGGAAGTGATTACGAGCAGTACGAACGATTTTCATCACAAATCGATATGAGATTTATGCACAGTTTCAAAAATACCTGTATGGAAAAGAAATACAACAAACGAATGGAATCTAACAAGTGGAAGCCATTTTTATGAAAAGTTTGAGATACTTTTCCAACTGGCATCTTCCGCTTCAAGTCATTCCCCCTTCCGGCTTTACTTTAAAGCTGCCGAAACTTTTTCACGCATTTCCTGAAAGTGTGAGGATGTAAAAATATAGTAATACGGAGGAAGCAAAAATGTAGTAATACCTTGGTTTTATGACAAGTATTTTCCCAATATTTAAAGTGAAAGTATCTCAGAGGAAATAGAAATGAAGTTATAGAAGCAGCTATTGCATGGTTCATTAAAACTGTTAATATGAAATAGTCTTTGAGAAAATTCAACCCATTTAGAGAAAAAGTGACTAGGGAAACGGAATGAAGAATGCAATCATTCCCGGTGAAATAAATTATTTCAGTTTCTACCGCTCGCTGGTTCCGTAGAAAAGATATTATCGTGCTTGTACTTTGAAAAATTTATCAAAAAAAAAACGAACGGCAATTGCTGTTGCTGGATTGGGAGCTTTAAGAATCCCCGTCCCTGATACAATTACATTAGCACCAGCTTTTGCGCAAACTTCTACATTATCCAAAGTTACACCACCATCAACTTGAATATTTAAGAATGGATGTGTAGACCGAAGAATCCGAACTTTCTCCATCATATTTGACATAAACTTTTGGCCTGAAAGAGGACTAATAAAAACGCTACACAAGGAATTCCGTAAACAACATATTATTATAGTTGTATTTTAAAAAATTTATAAAAAAAAGGACAAAGAGAAAGAAAGCTCAAGAAAGCTACGAAGGATATTTTTAGAAATTGCTAATTTGGCTAACTGTAAATAACAGTTAATAGATCAAGTATCAGTAGAACCATTTTTCTTTGCCAATATGAAACTACGAATAAACTATGCTACACTTTCATATCCTATAATCCACAACATTCCACCTTGCGATCTCCCAACATTGTGAAATATTTGGAGTACACTTGGTATGTTACTTAGTATCATCAGAACATAAACACAACAAATAAAGTTACACTACAAGAGACACAAACGGAACTTCTGCTATATTCTGTCATTGGAGATTTTTTTTGCCATCCAAGGCAGTATGCTCCTGTTAAATTAAATCCTAATGCAGTTTGTCAAATAAATACATGCCGCTGACAATTTGCAAAATAACTCTGTCGCTTTTACAAGTAAATAAAGGCAGCCAATCGATAACCTCCGAATCCAGGTTCAACGGTCATCACTAGAACCATATCCATGTCAACAAGTGTCTCAATCTTCTCTATCGGCGTACAAGGTTTTATTGCCACGCCAACCTGTAGAACAAAGTGATAATTGGCACATTTAAGCTCTGTTAATCTTGTTGCAAATTTTAAAAATAAAAAATGATACAAACAGATCTTTTCACATGCCTATCAATTGTTTTAGGCAAAATGATTCACATGTACCATAAGATTGCACAGATATATGTTAAAAGATAAGAACTAACAATATTTGCGGTCCATGCGTGTTTCGAAATAGCAAACAAGCATAAAATGACAATCAGTGCAATTCAATATTACAAATGAAAATATGTTTTCTTGTTGAAGAAAATGAGACTTTTTATCTTTATTCAAGAACAAGAAGAGATGAGAGACGACGTAGAAAGATGATTTAGATGACCGTCACCAAAGATAATGTAAAGATGAAACGATAATAACTAAAACCTATTTTGAAATATTTACAAAAGTCTCAATATTTGTCATAAATTTATCTGTCTACTCACTCAACACCAAAATTTCTTCTTGCCCTTCCAACAAGGAAATATTAAATCCTCTTTGTCTCCACTAATTCTTCGTCCTTTACTATTTCCTTTGCAAGGTAAAATCACAAAACCTAAAGTTTCTTCTGTCGATGAAGCAAAATCATATTTTCACTTACCAGCGATATCTGGGATTTTTTAGCTGTAAATTGCAAAATTTGCTTTAGATCAAAAGGCATAGTATGTCTCCGTTACATTTCTTATTTGTATGATAAAAAATGGATCTAACCTTCATGCCGAAATGTTTGATTCTATCAATAAGCATCTGGCAGCTTTTATCCGACTCCATAGCTTCCAAATGAAATACAAATTGGCTTGCACCAGCCTAAAATTAAGATAAGCAGTACCTTCAAATTCATGACTCACTCTATTGCCACATACGCTTAGCGACACCATCCCATCCATTATTACACAGTGATCATGATAGTTATGATCTAAATAAATATACAAATGAAATTGGAAACATAAACAGAGACAACCTTTTTCATTGGTTCCACCCATCGTTCCGGATTAAGTACCATCATATGAACGTCAAAAAATGGTTCCGGACCAAGGTTCCGCCGCAGACAATCAATAACTGTGGAAAAAAAAACAGTGAAAGTCTAAAAATTAAACTTATCCTATTTTCTCAATCAAAATTAAACGGTGGCATGCAATACTGGTATAGGTAAGTACATAGTAGCAATCACCGTTGATAACTATAAAGACTGCGCAAGCAACCTAGAACAGTACATTGCTGTTGGACAACAATAAACATAATCCGAAATAGTGAAAAAGGATGGCAATGATTAATTATTCAAATCAAAAGAAAAATACCATTACCAGGATGTCCGAATGTTAAATTGGGCACGAAATGACCGTCCATCACGTCAAGATGAAGATAATCAGCACCATAATGCAACAATCGCCGGCAGTCTTCCGCAAGATTAGATAAATCCGAATTTAAAATTGATGGACATATTATTGGGTTTAAGATATTCGTGCTAGACATTTCCTGAAACATAATTCCATACAATAATGGATGCATAAAAATGATATGCAAGAAGCTCTATCGTTACATTTCTCGTTGTACTGACCATGCGTATTTTACTTCTCAATACTTAAGATATTTCAATTAATTTAGAATTCCTCAACTTAGTTAGTCTCGGAAATTTGCAATTCTCGATTCAGGTATTATAACTAGCCAAAAATTAAGCATTCACATCAATGTATTCACTACTATTGTCATCACACCGTTGGGAGGAGAAGAATGAGAGGACGAAAATAATATTTGAAACTTAAGCGGTCCTCGTTTAATGAAAACATCTCGTTATGAAAAGTAAGATTCATGATGCTTTTTATTGATTGAACTGATATTGATACCGCATAAGGAAGGAAACGCCGGATGTGCGGAACCGGATTCTGTCGTCTAATGTGTGTATGTATGTATGTATGTGCATGTGATTGAAGTACCAAATAGATGAAGAACGTTGATGACTTTTGTTGGTTTTCGAGTTGCTATTTGCCACAGTGTGATGACATTGGTCAGGCTACGTTAACGTTATTTTTGTAAGACGTAACTCTCGTAAGTACGTAGTCTTTTTTGTCTCTCTCTTATCCAGAATTTTTCTCTGTTTTTTTTACTTTCCTTTCTGGTTGTTTTCTTTCGCGTCATTTGATTTTATCTTAATTACGCCATCACCACTTAACAAAATGTTATCGTAATTAGACGAAATAATTACAATGCGAATATCTCTCTCCCTTCTCTTCCTCCTTAAATGCAATTCTGTTCCTTCTTGGGACTTTTTCATTCTTGATCTTTCTTCTCTTATTATCTTTTTAATTTCTTCTCATTTCACTAATTCCTCGTTTTCTTTAATTTTATAGCACTCTTCTCTTTTTCTTTTATTTCTCTTATCATTAAATTTACAAAATTTCATATTATCACAAATTCGATTATTAATTTACACAGTTCCGATCATTCTATATCATCCCATTGTTTTGTTGTTCATTTATGTTCGAAATTCGAAGAGATTAATTACTTCAGACTATCTTCTTTTTTTTTTTTGCTTTTCGATTACATTTAGATTTTATTTCAACCAAATAGTTTCAGTTTCAAATGAATAAATTGATATTTCAAAATTAAATTCCGTCCGAAGAATTGTGCAGCGGTCTAATTTGAGCATTTTGCAACAAAAAGGTATGACATAAGATGACGACAGTATTATGATATATGGATCGTTAACATATATTGATTATTGATTTATCAAAAGCATTTCAATAATTATGGCAAAAACGCGCTTTGAGCCTTTTGTTTTGTATAGGTGAAGGGTTTAAGGTGCAAATAGATGAAAAATGATCATATATGGTCAGAATCCTGTGGGGTCCATAATTCGTAAATGATCTATCTGTAACGTAAATGTACAGAAAGCATTCGAATATCAGAAATGAGATCCCTAAATCAAAAATTTGGAATCAGTTAATAAAAAGAAAATGAGTCAAATTTTTAAATTTTGAGCAAATGTCCCATAGTCTTAAATGGATATGTGTAGATTCGGATCCGAATAATTCAATCAATCGTTTCTCTCAAGAGAAAGTTAGAAATTCAGGATTCGTTGTCTCAGTGGAGTGACATTTCACTCAAATCATACTTTCATTTGCCTGGATTTTTTTACAAAAAGAAAAAAAAGGCCAAGAATTACTGACCAAAAAAATAAGAGAACGAAACAAAAATTGTCATAAAATCTTTTGCATAACAAACAAAAAGTATGGAATGCTAGAAAGGAGCAAAATTATAGTTAATTTATGAATTCTCTATCTATGCTATCTTCACGCAATCTATGCAAGTTATTACGTAGATTGTGTGAAGAGTAAAAATTTGGGAATTTCAGCTTGCTTCTTGTAGTTCCTTCCTTTTCCAATCCATGTAATCCTTCGGCTTTATCATTAATTTTATGGAATTATTTCCGTAAAATTAGTGGTAGAACTGAAGGGATGATTAAGTGGTAGAGCTGATTTGGACTAAAAATTTGAACTAGTATTAATAATTAATTCAAAAACTTTAAGGATACTTTCTCTGTGAAGTTAAGGAAATTTTTGGATAGGCAACAGATAACGTTTTAGAATGATATCACAGCTTAGTATGATTAGCACCTTATTCAAATCATCACTGATTGATCACCCGAGAAAAATATCGTCATTGCTTGTTGAAGCTTGCTTATTTACCAACGATTGTTGTTGTTGTTGTTGTTCCTCCTGCTGTTGTTGTTGCTGCTATTATTCGTTGTTGTTGTTGTTGTTGTTGTTGTTGTTGTTGTTGTTGTTGTTGTTGTTGTTGTTGTTGTTGTTGTTGTTGTTGCTGCTGCTGCTGCTGCTGCTGTTGTCGTTGTTGTTGCTGTTGTTGTTGTTGTTGCTGTTGTTGTTCCTGTTGTTGTTGTTGTTATTGTTGTTGATCAGATGTATCTGGAATGATTTTTTGGAAATAGCGGGAATTTCTATAATTCCATTATCCACCCAATCATTGCATCTATTCACCTAATCTATCTTCAGTTAACCGTAACTTTCCGCTATTTTTTTGTTGTATCAACATCAATCAAAAAAAAATGATTGTTGCATAAGGATGGATTCGAGTAAGACAAGTTGCGACAATTTAAATTCTGAACGAATTTTACCTTCCTTCTCTCATCTCTTCTTTTTTCCAGTTCCCATAAATTTAAGCAAATTTACGACTTACTATTCAAGATATAGCTAATTTCGCGTTCATTCCGTGATATCGTCAAGCCATCGATCACAACATGGTTGAGAACGTTTGTTGCCCAGTTATTATTTCCATTTATTACATGATCCCGTCGCATCCGTTCATCGGGCAAAAAATCACAGTGACAGTGGGGCGGATTACAGCATGGCAATACTGCCATGGAAAAATTACCTAAAGTATATGAAGTTGCTGGACAGTGAATTGATTTGTGATCAAGATGGGTCAGAGAGTCTCAGACGATTCATATTTCCATACGATTAATATTATCATTTTTGCACATTCCTATTTCCCTCAATATATGTATCACAGATTACTTGCTTAACAAAAAGCTGACATCGCATTTGTCATTAAACAATAACTGGGAATTGGCTGTATACCAAATTAATTTTCGGCGGAAGCATTTTACGATAGTAATTACAAAAGAAAAAGTGCTTGTTAATTAATGAGCATTTTCATCCGGTAGGAATGCTCATTTACAATCGACCCATTACCTAATTGCTGTGGTACTGGTAAAATGGTTTCCAAATGTCTGTCTCGTATTCGCATTACGTCATCTAAAATTTCCTGTGCTTTTCGATTATTTTGTGGCATTGGATACATTTCATATGGGTCAACAAGCAGGTCGTAGACAAGTGGTGGATTATGAACATAAAGCTGATCTTCCGGACATCGCTGTGACACATACCTGAAAATTGAAGTACTGTAAAGTGTGAACAAAAAATAGTTGATTGCTCTAATTAACTTTCAACTTTTCAAATACTTACATCATCCTAGAGGTTACAGATATTTAGGCGAGACAATTTTTTATATAAAATTTCAAATAGCTCGAAAATATATAATCTTACCAGTCATCGATAGGCTTTCCACCAGGACATAACTTATTCATTTGTGGATCGTCAGTGCTATTTTTGAAAATTGGTGATGTTTTAAAATGCACCTAAGAATAAAAAATATTATCTGTTCCATACAGATGAAATTACGGAGAAATTTATTAAATTATTTGTCATTTTTTCGAAAATTTTCAAAGCTTCCAAACTTTTAATGACAAATTGTTCAAATATTTTTCAATACTATGAATGGATCTAACACAAACTTTGTGATTCCCATAACGGATTGCCATTAGATGAGTATTGCAGTAGTAGAAAATGGGTCTTTCGAGAGCCAAAGGTGCATCGGATACGCGATTCCCTCTAGGATCCGATGATAAACCCTTAAGCTGATGCCAAATTTCGATACCATCATAAAAAACACTCCTTCTTTTCCGTTTTCTCTGTAAATTTTTGTATTTTACATCAACTTTTATATGAAGTTATGTAATTATTTCCATCGTTGCGATGACAATGGAAATAATGTAGAGCAGAAAGCGCAAATTGACATCTGTCTTGCATTTATTTATAATAAGGACTAATGAGCAATAAAAAAAGCGGAACACGAAGAAGTTATACAAACATTGCAAATATAACTGTCATTTGTAAAAATGAAATAGTTACCCCTTTTGATGCAAGTTGTTCAAATGTTGGAAATAAATCAAGCGACCAAATAACTTCATGTGATGTGATACCGGGGCGAATCGTTCCTGGCATCCAAGAAATAAATGGTATTCTGAATCCACCCTCAAAACTATTAGATTTGCCTCCTAAAAACTAATCCAAATGATTCTAAATTTAATTTTTAAATTCAAGAATTCTTAAGCAATAAGAAATTGATTTAAAAAAAAGTAACCTTTTAAACCAGCTGTACTTCCGCCATTAAGACAAAGCTCTTGATGAGGTCCATGATCTGACATCAATATCACCAATGTTTGCTTTTCAATCTTTTCTCGTCGTAAACTATTCAAAACTTGTCCAACAGCCCAGGCCATTTCATTAATGTTATCACCAAATAGGCCTAAGAATTCAATTATATTAAGGATATAAAAGTTTCAAAGAACAATAAGTAACTCTATAATCACAAATATTGACTAATCTAATATCTTCAAAAAACTATGTGGTGTTTTAAATAATTTTATAATTTCCCTCTTATTTTTCGATTATTTTAAAAACAGATTTTGCTTATAACGGATTGACAGGTCAGATACCTCGTACGGAACTGTATCGGAAACGTTTGTTAGCAAACTGTGTGCTGTGCACATGAGGAAATGAGAAATAGAAGAAAAATGGCTTTTTATCAATATCATTTTCCATTCTTTGCCCTGAAATTTTCGATTTCTTTCATTTTTACATTGTTTTTTAAATGAAATAAAATCAAATCAATTGGAGATTTCACTAAATCCATTTTCATTTTTCATTTTTTTTCTAACAGTGATAGCGAATTTCCCTGCAAAACTTTTAACTTCCAAGCATAGATTAAAGCTGATACATTTATAAATAATGTAAAAATTACGATAAATGCTGTTTATTAATTAAGAAATAAAATGTATTCCACTTGTGTAAATCGATAGTTACTTGAAATATTTCTGATCAAAAAATTTGCAAGTTCTTTTTCTTTAAAAAAAAAGTACGTAGAAAACGTTTCCAATCGTTAACTAAAGCTTCGGTTAAGTGCTCAAAACGAATTGGTTGTTGAACGATAGAATCTCCATCATACAAGAAACATAATGTTCCATTTGGATTGCTGACAAATTCCTGAAAATGTCAACGATTCTATGGAAATCATTATGAGGAATAAATTTTCCAGCCAATGGATATCAAACACTCAAAGATCACATTCTTTCCCTAGAAATGAAATGCATAAAAACATTGCGTACTTTATTTTCTGGCTTTATATTAAAATTATATAGCGATTCAATCTAATGTGCTAATGCTTACAACATTGTCGTAAATGATGTATCACATAAGCAGACCTTGGATGTATCGCACTGCCATACATTAGTCCACGGTAAATTTAAACCAACAAAATCGAAGCCACGTTGTGATGGCAAAAAGGTACCATCAGTAGAGTTATATTTATTAATGCCCAAATGCCATTTACCAATCATACCGGTTACATAACCTGCAAGTTTTGGAAATGTTCAGACTAGCTAAGTTCAGTTCGTTACATTAAATGGGGTATGGAAGTTAAATTATAAAAGTCAATATTTCAAAAATGTTATGACTATATCTTTATATTCCATAGGCCATTTTATGAATTTCAGGAGAGATGGTGTCTTACCATATCGTTTCAACATTTCCGCCATCGTTTCTTCTTCCTTAGGTAAACCACCGATATCTTGCGGTAGAAATACTCGCGCCCCACCTGTTACTCCTAGGCGAATGGGTAGACGCCCTAAAAATCGACATTTTTGCTAATATTTTCAAAAATATCGGATCTGTAATTTGATAAAGAAAAGACCTAAGGAAAAACCTGAAATTATTTGTTGGTTCTGAATAAATTGAGAACTTAGCCTGCAGCATTCCTTCTTTTTTTTTTTTCATTGTTGTAGAAACAGTTAATCATATACCAGTCATGAAACCGGCTCGACTTGGTGAGCACATACTATCAGCGGAATAAGCCTGCGTAAACCGCACACCTTCACGGATCATATCATCAATTTCGCCAACCTCTTGATTCGGATGCCCGTAACTTTGTAAATCACCATAACCTGAAATTAACAAGAAAATTCTTGAATTCAATGAACATAAGGTAACTCTGTTTGCAGAAAACTTGTACGCTTTGATTTGCAAAACATTCAGCTACTGAAGCAAAAGATTGCGGACATGCGGGCTTCCGCTAGCTAAATTTATTTTCGTAATTAAACTTTCGTATAAATTAAATTAAAAAAAAGTGAACCTAAATCTTAGCATACCTAAATCATCGACCATAAGGATTACGATATTAGGCCGTTCTGGTGTTGCTGGTTGTACTTCACATGAATGATCAGCACATTCGAATGCTCTTCGTCCCAGTACCAATTCCAAACCATATAATAGTACTGTCCAAAAGCCAGGTAGTCGACGCATCTTTATACTTAATTATTTTGCCTTCTTTCCTGCTATTCTACCTGAAATTTACTATGAGATGAAAGTAAACAGGTAATCTTTCTGATTACTTCGGAATTAGCATGTATAAGACGTACGAGACGTACAAGATAGTGTGCAGGAGAAATTTTATTATTCCTTTTTTTTTTCCTCGGAATCTTTCTTGAGGTAAAATTGTAAGTTACGCATAGCAGTAACGTAGTGATAGAAAACAAATATCAATGGATCACTATTGCAATTTGTTTTATTTATTTGTGTATTTTTTTTCGCAGCGAATTCTGTAGAACAATAAACGTTCACGTTTCCACATCATTCACAATCGTTTTTCACGTATAATTTGCACGTTTCCTAGTCATATCATGTCCGTCTTTTTATGTATATTTTATTTCAGTTATATAAACGTGTAAAAATAAGCTATTCGTTATAGCGTCAAATAATTCACGCAAACATTCACGTTTACGTTTCGTCTCTTCCTCTCATTTTATATTTAAAGCATTGTGCATTAGCATATCTCATCTTCCGTGCTAGAAATATTTATCCGCAAGTTATTACTTAAATCTATTATTTTTGTTCACTTCAGGATATCATTTACAAATGTATCATTCCATGGGATTAACTTATTTCATCGCGTTTTTTCGCCGAGTGAGAAATTTGCTTGCTCAAAAGTTAATAACTTTCCCTTATTTCTTTGTTTTGTTTTTTCCCATGATTTCAAACTATTAGATAAAAATAAATTTGCTTAAAAATGGAAAATATGAAAAGACTGATGAGTTTACTACATATAGTTCAACTTATCACACGTAAAGTTTATCTATACAAGTAAATCTTATCTGTACACGTAAGCTCATCTGTACATGTAAGCTTATTTTTACACGTAAGCTTATTAATACACGTAAGTTTATTAGTACACGTAAGCTCATCTTTCTTTTAGATTAATAGAAGATATTGTCATTTTAGCAAAGTTGATAAGTACAAGGAAATTGCGCTGAAGGAAATGATTCAATTTTCGCGCGCAATTAATTTGAATAGAGCGGGAAAAAAGGAAGAGAGGAAGAATTCGAGAGTGGTAATTAACGGATAGGTAAAGGTATTTTGTTAGGCGGGCAGATGGAAGGAGGAGAGGAATTGTAATTTGATTCAATAAAATAAGATGCTTTTGTACTTTCAGAGATTAACGAACAAAAATCGGCGTACAAACTATTCATCGAAAATCAAACTTTATGAATTTTTGAATAATTAGATCAATAATATTTGTCATTTTTTTTCACAATGAAAGATTGAAATCTTCATCAAATTATTCGAAAAATTTCTAAACGAAAAGAATCATTTCATTGAATTAAAATTAATTTTTCTAACTTTCATGCTTAACAATATAAATGATTTTGTCAAATTATTTGCTTGTTATTGCCATTGTCATTTGATGATTATTTTGGATAAAACAAAGCTGGAAAAAAATATATAACAATCATTGCAGAAACAGATAAGAAAGAACTGATGAAGATAACTGTTGGATACAGGGAGCAAAGGTCATCATTTCTCTCTTGGTGATCTTTGTGATAAAATGCTCGTTTTCAATCAGTCAAGTAACTGGCAACTGCCGAAATAAAGCTAAAAAAAAACGGAGGTATCCTCTTTCTTTCTCCAAATATAAGTTCGTACTAATGAACACATATACACACACGTACACACACATACACACATATACGTCAAGAAATTTCCACCTTAAAATTTAAAGCATTTACTGCATAAATTGCTGAAAGACATTGGTTTTTCTATGGAGTGAATCGATTTTCCGCGGATATGCAGGAGAGATAAGCTTATAAATGTTCCCGAGATGATTTTATGTTTGATATCATTAGTGAGAATACGGTGAGAAGAACGGAGAAAGATTGGGAGAAGAGGAGGAAGAAGGGAGAAGAATGGAGTTCGAAGATCGAAAGGACAATGAACTAATAACCTCAATGACCCTTGCTCTTACTCTTCTTCATACTCTTTAGTTTCATTCATACTCATAGGACAAAGAAAGGTATGATATGTATTATCAGTGGTGTAATTTAGGACACTAAAAGATTAAAAAGTATCCGACAAAAAAAAAAATACCATTGCAATAGAAATGCTCGAATTTGTTTTCTCAAGAACCGGAAATGAAATTGTAATTAAACGTGTAAAGAATGATAATTCAATGAATTACAAGTTATATATCAATTATTTATGGATAATTTTAAATAATTTTTCTGGAAATTGATCACTAATGCAAAATATTGAAATAAGCAATGTACAAAGATCAAAGGATAAAAAGTGTTAAATAAACAAGGAAATTATAAAAATTTATCACCATCATTAACATCATAAATTTCAGTAGATAGAATTAGATCGAGAATAATTATCACTGAGATTTTCTTCTTTTTGCTTCAAAAATTTGTAATGTAAAAATTATCGTAATAAATTTTTCTAATTTCATTTATTTACGATTATTACAATAAAATGATATGACAGATAATGTTTCGTTCTGCGACAATCATTGATAACATTTGCTATTGATTACATGGAAATTAAAACTATGCACTCTCTTCACAAGTAGTTTGATTATGTGACATACATGTTTGGAACTCATTTGAAAGAAGAGAGAAGAATTTTTAGATGAATTATTAATTGTTAAATAAAATGGATGATTTTAGATTTTGTAGTTCTTTTAAATCTTATCATAAAATTGTCGAAATTTTGTCCTACTAAAAAGATAGTTGAGAAATATTCAAAATAGCATAATACAATATTCATCATCATCATCATCATCATCATCATCATCATCATCATCATTGCTCATCTATTGTTTTCATCTTTAAACATTATATACATATTGCGCTCATGTGCTTATTAACAAATAAAACGAGCAATTGAAAAAGTAAAGAAATAATTTTGGAGTGCTTACATCCTAATGGCATATTTTGCTTATTGTCAACAAATGATGACAGATCATTGATCAAGTAATTAACAATACAATACACTTAAGGTATTTCTTGTTTAATAATATATCCGGAAATTTGAATATCAATTCAAAGGATTATGAATAGTAATATAGAAAGGTAATGTAAAATAAATGGCTAAATTTTATTTAATGAAAAAAGAAAGAATATGTATATAAACAATTCTTATCATCATTATTATCATTCCAACAATTTATTCAAATATCCGTTTTTTTTATTGCAAAAATTGAATGATTATTTGAGATAAATTATTTTCTGAAACAAATTAAAAACTGAATGGAATTTTTTTTTAATTAGTAACAAAACAATTAGCAGGTATCTTATCTTTTAATTGGCAACAAAATAAGCGACAGTTAAAAGATAAGGATCTTTTAATTAATAATAAAATAATAAGCAACTGCCTTATCTTTTGAAACAAATAACAGCTACCTTATCTTTTAATTAGCAGCAGAATGAGTATTTCCACATTTGATGCTAAGGCTTTCATATAAGCATTTTCGGATTAAGAAAAAATAACAAATATTTCCAATTTCTTTTGTAAAAAACTTAAAAAAAATTTAAGAAAAACTTTTTCGATAAATTCTTATCAATTTTTTTAATTTTAATTTAATTTTTACTAACATTAGCTACATTTCAAATTCTTCCTACAATCATTACATTGCCCATTTTAATTCATTAATTCTAATATGCATTATTCTAAAATGCTAACATTAGCATAATCCTAAAATTGTTAATTTAAATGTCAAAAAATACATTTTTCCATAATTTCACTTCCATAATAATATGATAAATTAAAATGTACGGTAAATTATTACATCAATAAGCTATTACACATGAAAGAAGCTTAGCAATGAGAGTATTAGTTTATGGATTAGTTAAGAGTAGGCAATAAAGTGAAATAAGAAATAGAAATACTTAATAATTGGAATTAAAAAAAACAACACGAAATAGATTCTCTCACTCTCTATAACAAATATTTAAAATCAATTATTGATACGGAAAAATGGAAAAAGTGAAGGAAGGATTGGTATTGTTGCATTTGAGGAAAAAAATGACTTATATATACAAAGCTTATAAAGGGTATTTCACGTGGAAAACATATGAGATAATAGGATTCAATGTATGATTGATAGATAACATTAAAATAATGATCAAAGATCGGATACATTTATTTAATAACAGTTAATTTTCAATCTTTTAAGTCTTTTTTTTTTTAATAGAATTTATCAAAAACCAATAAATCCTTTCTCCCGCCCTTCCGATCATTCGTTTCTTGTTGGATGAATCAGAAAATGACAATATTTCGAAGTTTTTAATCGAATTGCAAAAAAA